TTTTTTTTTTTTTTTTTTTTTTTGTAGGTTCACAGTATTTTTCTTGTTTTCCTGAATTCTTTATTTAACCAACTAGACCATATTCTTTGGCTACAGGTCAGATTCCAGGCTGCCTTCCTCAAGATGAGGAGACACATATCAGAGACCCTTCTCTAAGACAGCTCCTGTGTGCAGCATCTTTCATGGCTTAGACCTCCATCTGTCAGATTATTATTTTTTAAATTGCTGTTAAAATTAAGCATTTTACCTATTCTGTTGGGTGTCAAAGGAAATTGCTCTTTGATGAGGCAAGAACATCTCTCTCCAATAATGTAGTATTAAACAGAGCAAGTTGTTAATTTGTGGAGTGGGGGAAAGGTTCTGCAAGTTGCCATTGTATAAATCCATTTTTACAAATGTTTGCAGCAGATTCCACAGAACAAAGAGCCCATTCATTGCCGAGAGCCCTGCAGAATCTCTGAGCCAAGTGGCTGTGTGTTCCGAGCCGGAGCCTGACCTGTGGCCCGCCTTTAATGTCTTCTGCACCCAGTCCTTTTATGACGTGGGCTTCTTCTAAACAGGGTAAAGTGAATGTGTTGCATTGCAAACTCAGGTATTATGAGGAGAAGGTAGGAGTGTAGCTAGCTGTGGAGACATTAGGTCAGCCACTAGATGTATTTGTGAATTTGGTTTGAAGGACACAGAGAAAGGTTGGAGGGGGAGGTTTGGTATGTTTGTTTTTTGCCTTTCTTCCCATAATGTTTGGTTAACAGGCAGCCTTTTTGCTAGTGGAAGAAGAAAAAAGTTGTACATGCTGTCTCTGATTCCTCTGTCTTCTGTCCTCTCTCTGATCCCAGCCACCAAAAGCACTCATTTTGAGTGAGAATTTTCCCACCATAAGAGTGTGACCCAGAAAGCTGTGTGGAAAGGAGAATCCCACCTCCTTGCACTGTGTGGAAACATGCAAGCTTTTTCCTTCTTTTCCTTTTGAACATTTTTTTGACCCAAAACAAAAGTTTGGAATCTTAGAGCTTCATCTGTAATTAATGCTGTCCAGCTCCCTTTGCAGATTTTTGGAGTTATTTGCAAAGTTTATAGTGGTCTTTCCCTTAATCTGGAGAATTCCCCCAAACCTGTCTAAAAGCACTCCACCTGGCTTAGAGGGCTCCCCACCCTGTGCACAGCCCACAAGTGAGGTGGGCAGGCCTCAGGGATAGAGGGAAACAGGCAGGAACCTCCCTATTCTGATACCCAGAACCTTAGCAGGGATGGGGGAACTTAGGGATCTCCATGGCCTCACTGGAAGTCATCCATTCCACACCAGACTGCTTCTGACCTTCCCCCACTTATCAGGGAAGTGAGTGCCTGCCATGGGCAGGATCACCAGATCCTTAAAACCCTGGCCTCTCTGGGTTGGCTGCCTTGCTTTGCTATACCCATTCTCCATAATTGTTTATTCTTGATTTCCTGGGAAATGGAGAGATGGAGACAAGACAACCTGGTATGGGAAACATCTACGGCATGACCAAGGTTGGCCAGAAAGGGACCCTGGTCTGCCAGCAGGAAGTTGAGTTGTGATTCCAAGTCTTTAGTTTTGGGCCTCTGGTCTATGTGTTTTATCCTTGTTGCTTTTTAAATTTTTGCAATTGTTTTAAGAAATCCAGTCTTTCAGATCATCTCTTTTTTTAAACTTGGAATTTTTCTTTATTAACTTTTTTAAAGTTTAAAAAAAAACTGAATTAAAAAAAAAAACAAAACACTACTCTTACCCCACACACACACCTGGATCCACAAGGTTATCCACACTCCCTTCTGCCTCCACAGTTGATCATTCTCCCTTTTTCCTCAGCTGGAAGCATCTATGTCCAGCATCTATGAAATGATGTTTTATCTGTGTCTCAGGATGAGAAACTGCAATCATCCCACCAGGTGCTGGAAACTGGTGAGCCTTGAGGCAAGGGTTTCTGGGGCCATAGCTCAGGGATGTGTATTTAATTACAGGGTCCCCAGAAACCCCTGTCTTGGCTGCCACAAGGAACATCTTCTCTTCTGGGCTTGGGAGCCAGGCCTGGACTGTTTTCTCAGAGGCAGGGGCCCCCAGAGAGCCTGCTGAGTGTGAGCAGGCTGGGGCTTCCTCTTTGGCCAGGCCTGGCCTACCTTGAGACTTGAAGATTTCTGACTGTCCTGCGACATGAGCCACAATGGCCCTGCCTCTCTACCAGCAAATAAACCTGGCCCCTTTGTTTAGACCTCCCTCTTCCAGGCCTACAGCCTTCAGAAGTCAGCTGTAGGCTTGAGAGGGAGCTATGGGGAAAGCCAGAGCCTGTTCCAAGCCTAAGAAAAATGTCATGATCCTAGTGGACACTAGTCCTCCAAATCCTGGAGCCAGCCCTTGCCGGCCAAAGGATCCTCTTTGTCCTTTGATGACCATTGTTTTCTTTGCTGAATGTCTTATAATAGGTGATAATATTGTTGACCAAATTTCCATGGAAAAAAAAAAAAAAGAAAGAAAAACTACCTCTTGTGACATCCTGGTCGATTCCTCTCAGAGGAATCCTGTGGGAAAAGAATATTGTCACTGTTTACATGTTTCTTTCGGGAAAAAAAAACCCGCCTGCCCTGGGGTATTGGTGTTTTTGTCTGTGTTGCCATCCCAGGCCTGTGATAGGGGCTGTGGCTGCATTGTAATGTCTGGGCTGTGTCTGGGGAATCCTTCCCACCTGCCCGGCTAGGGCCAAGCCACCCCTTGAAGAGGCCTCCATCTCTTTCTTAGCTCCAAGGCATAGGGAGCATCACCTCCCACAAACACCACCTTCAGGGGCTCTGATGGCACCTGCATCATGAGCCTAACCCAGGCAACCTACCCTGGAACCACTTCCACCTGCAGACCTGTGTAGGAATCGAGTAAATGGGATGTCTCTGAGCCCTTGTTCCCAAAGGGCCGGCCAAGGGCTGCCTGCCAGCTTGGCTCCATCAACCCTGCATGACCAAATGATAGTTGGCGGGCTCTGCAGGCTATTCAGGCCCTCTGCTACCTCCCACACTTGCCTGTTGGCAAGGGATGGGCCCTGTTCTGTGAATTGACTACCTGTGGAAATGTGACCAATTAGTGTGAAATGCATGTTTAGCAAGTGTTAGGTACTGTATTTGAACCAATAAATGTGAATCCTTCTGCACATGGCATCTGTCTAAGAAGCTTGTTTGGGGCTCTGGGGAGGGATGGTGGGTACCCTGAAGTGAGGACTCAGGCCTTCAGACCTGGTTCTCCTGCTTATGCCGATATCCACCCCATTCCTACTGCCAAGAGCCCGGCAGAGCATGCTGTCAGAATTGCTTGAACCAGTGGACCTGTACAGACGGATGAACCTGCTGTGTGCCAGGCACTGCCTTAGGACCTTGCACAAACCTAAGCTTCCTTGAACTCTTATTTTATAAGTGAAGAAACTCGGTTGAGAATGGCGAAGGGACTCAACTAAGGTCACCTATCCAGAAAATGGCACAACTGGAGAAACCAAGTCTAGTGGAAGAAGCACATGGAATTTTGAGGCACAGTGAAAAAAGGATTGTAATTCAGGACCTATGTGGGGTAGAAAGGGCACAGAGAAATAGTGACTTATTCTACTGGGAAGGCTCAGGAAGGGTTTCCCAGGTGAGTATTGTTGAAGGAAGCCCCCAAAGCAAGTCACTAGGCACAGAGAGGAAAATAGACCAGGGAGAGAGATCAGCAGCATGTTCAAAGGCCCAGTTGTGAATCAGACATGAAGTATTCAGGTATAGCAAGGGACTGCCACGGCAGGAGTGGGGTGGGGGTTTAGCTGGGGCTTCGGAAGCAGCAGTCAGCCTAGAGTGCTACACAAAGGAATTTGAATCTTCTGAGTCTTTGGGAAGAGCCACATCTCAGTGACAGACAGCAGTGTGCTGGTTGTGTGGCCTGCCTCATGTGTTGTTGTGTCCTAGCAAATGAATACCTGTCTTTCCAGAAAATGGGTGAGGTCTCTTTCTTGGTTTTGGAACTGGGGATTAAACCTGTGGGGGTGGGGGAGACTCTAACACTGAACTATACCCCCAGCCCTTTTTATATTGAAACCGGCTCCTGCTAAGTCATCCTGGCTGGCCTCAAAACTGTGGTCCTCCTGTATCACTGGGATTATAGGCATGTGCCATAGCAGACAAATGATTCTTATTAGCGTTTCAAGAGCTGAGCAAATGGTGGCTCTGAGAGGTCAAGGGACACTGCCAGAATCTCACAGGAAGTATCAGAATCAGGCCTTGAGCCTAGATCTCTACAACTCAAAAGCCTAGCTGTTCTTTGAGCCTGCTCACATGCTCAGAGTTTGGGTTGAGGGCTTTGTGGAGACAGGTGAGAGGAAGGAAGGTCTGGGGGGATGAAGGCTAAGGAGAGTCTCATCAAAGTTCATCAAATCCTCTGTGTGGACTGGGGCCTCCCAGCTGCCTTCCATGCCTTGGCCCCAGCACAAGAGACCAGAGAGCCCTTGAGGCTTGAAAGAGGTGGTTTCAAACAAAGGAACTGCTCCAGAAGGAGTTAATGGGCTGTCTTCTCTGCCCACAAGCTGAAACAGACACAGAGGTGCAAGGAGAAGAAGGCCTGACTGCTGCCTAGTGAGAATACGTCCTTTGGCTGGTGCCTCACTGACATGGTCTCATGAAATCCTCAGGATACTTAAGGAGGTGGAGGTCTTAGCCTCACTTTACTCTGAAGCAAACTCAGGCTTGAGAAAGATAAGCCATTTGCCTAAAATGACACATGACACATGGGCAGAATTCGTTTTTTGAATACAGGTCGATCTGATACCAAAGTTACAACAACTTCCTCCCTGCTCCGCCTTAGCAGTTAAATAGTGCTGAATATGAATGTCTGGAGTTTGTAACA